TGCATCTACGTAGCCTTGTAACTTTATATCTCCTTTTCTAAAGTATAGACATTTTTCTGTTGTGCCACGTAGATATCTCAAGATCCATTTGACTGCTTCCCAATGAGCTTTTCCTGGATTTGACATAAACCTGCTAACAACAACTCCCACTGCATGACCAATGTCTGGCCTCGTACAGACCATCGCGTACATCAAACTTCCAATGGCTGAATCATAAGGAATCTTAGCCATAACCTCTTCTTCTTCTTTTGTTTGAAGAGACTGGTCCTTGGATAGACGAAAATGGCTGGCCAAAGGTGTACTGACTGGTTTGGCCTTGTCCATGTTAAATCTCTGCAAGACACGGTTGATGTACTCTGCCTGAGATAACTGCAAAACTCCCTTTTGCTTATCTCTCGTGATCTGCATTCCAAGAATCTTCTTTGCTGTGCCTAAGTCCTTCATGTCAAATTCTTTTGACAACTGCATCTTTAATTTTCTGATGTCTTTCATATCTGATCCTGCTACTAACATGTCATCAACATAAAGTAGCAAGATGATATAGCTGGACTCATACTTCTTGAAGAAGCAACAGTGATCAGCATTGCACTTCTGGAAGCCTTCCTTGTGCATGAAGCTTTCAACTTTCTGTACCACTGTCTTGGAGCTTGTTTCAGGCCGTACAAGCTCTTCTTCAATTTGCACACCATATCCTTCTTTCCATCTGAAAAACCTTCAGGCTGGTGCATATAGATCTCCTCATCTAGGTCTCCGTGAAGTAATGTAGTCTTCACGTCTAATTGCTCTAGGTAGAGCTCTTCGCTAGCCACAATACTTAACACAGTCCTGATAGTATTGAGCTTTACAACTGGAGCTAAGATTTCAGTATAGTCAACTCCTTCTTTCTGCTGAAATCCTTTGACAACCAGTCGGGCTTTGTATCTTCTGGAACCATCATGGTCTTCCTTCACCCGATACACCCATTTGTTGTGAAGTGTTTTCTTTCCCATGTGTAACTTGACTAGTTCCCATGTCTGATTTGAGATCAAGGACTTCATCTCGTCCATCATGGCAATCTCCCACTTGCTAGCATCCTTGGTTTGACAAGCTTCCATGTAACTTTCAGGCTCCCCTCCATCGGTCAGCAGCATGTAGTCCATGTATCTCCTGTTAGGCACATGGGGCCGAGAGGACCTTCTCAATACTGGAGCTGGAGTAGGAGGTTCTGATTGCACATCACTTTCTTCATTTGATTCCTCTGACTGAGGACTCCTCATTATAAGACTATCTGAGATATCTTCCACCTCAGCATAAACTGGCCCACTCGCTTCTGAGTTGTTGGCACATGTATTATGCCGGTCCTTGTACATCACTCTTTCATTAAAAATGACATCTCTGTTGCAGATCATCTTTTTGTTTTCATCATCCCATATACGGTAGCCAAACTCATCTTCACCATAATCAGGGAAGGTACACTTCTTTGATTTTGGATCAAGTTTGTTTCTACCTTGATCACTGATGTGCACATATGCTACACACCCGAAAACTCTAAGATGTGAGAGTTTTACTTCTTTTCCGCTCCATACCTCTTCTGGTAACTTGTGATCTAATGGTACCGATGGACTTCGGTTGATCATGTAAGTTGCTGTGTTGACTGCTTCTGCCCAGAACTGCTTTGGTAGGCCTGACTGCACACGCAAGCTTCTGGCTCTTTCAGTCAACGTTCGATTCATACGCTCAGCTACACCATTGTGTTGAGGCGTACCAGGCACGGTTCTCTCTATTATGATCCCGTGCTCATGAATCTGGTGGTTACGTATTCACCACCATTGTCGGATCTGAGCTTCTTGATCTTCAAGCTTGTCTCATTTTCCACCATAGCTTTTCAAATCTTGAAAGCTTCAAATACTTCTGACTTGTGGTTCAGAAAGTAAACCCATACTTTTCTGGAGTAATCATCGATAAAAGTCACGAAGTATTGCTTCCCACCAACGGATGGGATAGTCATTGGACCCCAAACATCAGAGTGGATGAGCTCAAGCTTCTCCTTCTTTGGAGTTCTTCTACTTGTCTGAAAGTTGACTCTCTTCTGCTTTCCAAGTATACAACCTTCATACATGTCAATTTCAATTGACTGGAGACCTGGTAATTTTCCTTTTGAGTGAATGATCTTCATCCCTTTTTCACTCATATGCTCAAGTCTTTGGTGCCATAGATTGAGATTTTCATTTACTGCAACTGCAATTAGATGACATGCTCTTGTTGTTTTGTAAAGAGTACCAATCTTTTTGCCTCGAGCAATTGTCATCGCACCCTTTGAAATCTTCCAATCATCACCATGGAAGATTGACGTGTAGCCTTCACTGGCTAGCTGGCCCACAGAGATTAAATTCTTCGTCAGGTCGGGAATATGTCTAACATTTTTCAATTCCCATATAGACCCGTTCAACTTTATTTTTATTGCACCTTTCCCTACAACCTCACATGATTGCTCATTACCAAGGTAAACTTTACCAAGGTTAACAGGAACATAATTTTCGAGTAGTTCTTTCTGTGAGGTAGCATGAGAGGATGCTCCAGAGTCTAACACCCAAGACTCTTCTCTGTTCTCCAATGAACATACCAGCATATCTCCTCCTGAGGATGAGACAACATTTGCCTCTTCTTTGACCTCCTGATTCTTCGGTGCACTCTTGCACTGGTTTCTGCAGTGTCCGGTATTTCCACAATTCCAGCACTCGACAACTTCGAGCTTTGGGAACTACGATGATTTCTGGACTTGGATCTTCTTCCCTTTGATTTGTTGTGTCTGCTTTCTTTGGTTGAACTTCTTCCTCTTGACTCTGTATTCAATATAGAAGAGGTTGATGGTTCACCCGACTCTCTCCGTCGGATCTCTTCACTGAGAACCAAATTTTGAACATCATCAAATCTCAACTTATTGCTTCCCGATGAGCTACTCACAGCCGTGACCGTAGCATTCCAACTTTCTGGTAGGGAAGACAAAAGTATTAAAGCCCGTACTTCATCATCGAACTCGATCTCAACCGAACTCAATTGGGTTGTGACGGTGTTGAGCTCATTGAGATGATGTGCCACCGAAGCACCTTCGGTCATTCGAAGATTAAACAATCGCGTCATAAAATGAACTTTATTTGAGGCTGATGGTTTCTCGTACATGTTGGAAAGAGCCTTCATGAGGCCTGCTGTCGTCTTTTCTTTTGCAATGTTAAAAGCAACATTACGGGATAACGTCAACTGAATGGCTCCAAGAGCTTGTCGAGGAGACTCCATTCTTCCTCCTTCATGTCCTCTGGCTTCTTTCCTGTGAGTGGTTAATACATATTCTTTTGGTACAGATAATCCTCGATCTGCATCTTCCAAAAGCCAAAGTCCGCACCATCGAACTTTTCAATTTTCATTTTTCCTTCGTCTGCAGCCATCACTTCGTCTCTAATCTGACTTCTCTGCCGGATCGTTTCTGTAATTTTTGTGAACTACCGTGTTTCAAAACACGTCGGTAGATAAATTGTAGCGCCGACAAAATTGACACTATTCACGTTTTTCAACGGAATAGTAACATCACACAAAAAAAATACAGAATTAACAATCTGGCTCTGATACCAGTTGTTGGAAAAAATATGCTGAATTTTCCATGAAGTCGGATCTATAAAAGTGAAATAAAAAATAAAAATTGGACACACCAATTTGATAACTGAGTTCGGCCAATAATGCCTACGTCTCCGGACTACAACATATATTTTATTAGGAAGAAAAATACACTCTCAACTTCACTCACAACTCACAACTCAAATACACACAGAAGCTAAATTTTTACTTATTTTCACTCTCTTCTTTTTCTCTCTTTCTTTCTGTGTTTTCTGTATTTTTTTGTGTATTTTTCTTCATCAGAACCCATCTCTATTTATAGAGAGGGAGTTGCACATTTTTTCCCACAAAGGCTGCAGCATCTTTCTTCAATTGTGTGCTGCACGTTGCTTCCTTTCTTTTTCTTTCATTGTTGTTGTCAAAAGTGTGTTGCTTCTTTTTTTTTTTTTTTTTTTTCTCCTTTTGCTGCTTCAAGAAAATGGGCGCAGCCCCTTTTTGACTCAACATAAAGAGTGATTAACCTTACCTTTTTTCAATTTTGTCTATTTATAGAGGATTATTAGCTTTCTGAACAAGCTTCTGTCCTCTCCGACTGCCCGAAGGCCTGCCCAACTACCCTAGAGGGTTGCCCGTCAGTTATTAGGCTACCCATAGGTCTTCCCGTCAATTATTTGGAATTATCTTTATCTGTTCGATATGTTTACCCCTTTTATCCATGACCCTATACGTGTCCCTTGTGGTCAGCTTAGACTCGACCTATTAGTAGGTCGATCTTTTTACTGGAGTTACTTACCAAACTACCGAATACCGAACTTCTCAATATCCGAGCCATAAATATATCTGTACTTTTCAGATTGTCCGAACTTCTTATATGCCGAGCTACCAATATTGACGTATTGTTCGAGCTTCTTATAAGCCGAGCTACTGCTATGGACGTATTGTCCGAGCTCCCTATAAGCCGAGCTACTGCTATGGACGTGTTATCCGAGCTCCCTATAAGCCGAGCTATCGATATAGACGTGATATCCGAACTCCTTATATGACGGACTCTATATATTTCCTAGTTAGTCGAGCCATCTGAACACCTATTACTTCAAAATCAACCGACCTAACTAATCTTAAATCTATATATCGAGCTAACTACGAATGGGGAGCTATTTTTATGTGCTATATCAAAATTCATTTCAAATTCCAGCTGCCTTCGTTCCCTCTTATGCCAATAGTATATGATTTTTTCATGTTTCATTATTAGAAGTATACAACTGGTCCATGCATCATAATAACTCTTTTAATATCAAATAACATTTCATTTATAAAACCCCTTCCTTACATAAACGCACACGCACTAGTACGATGAAACGGATTTAATTTTTAATTATTTCAC